ACCACGAAGGTGAGGTGTTGAGGTTCCGCAGGCTGGACGACATCGTCGGCGGCACAGGTCCCTCAGGTCTGGTGGGTAGGCTGCTCAATGACGCAGAGCTGCTACTCGTCAGTGTAGAGGAACCACCCACGTTCGCGCTAGCCGAGCGTGATGGAAACTGGCGACGGGCGATGCTGGAGGAGATGAAGGCGATCGAGGAAAACGAGACTTGGCAGCTCGTCGATCCACCTCCAGGATGCCGTCCGATCAGCCTGAAGTGGGTGTACAAAGTCAAAAGGGACGAGCTCGGCGCAATCGTCAAGCACAAGGCGTGCCTCGTCGCCCGAGGCTTTGTCTAGCGCGAGGGCATCGACTTTGAGGAGGTCTTTGCGCCAGTAGCACGCATGGAGTCTGTCAGTTTGCTACTTGCTTTGGCGGCAGCAAAGGACTGGCGCGTCCATCACTTGGACGTTAAATCGGCCTTCCTCAACGGCGAGCTGGCGGAAACGGTCTTCGTTAGGCAACCTCCAGGGTTCACCATCAAGGGAGAGGAGCACAGGGTGCTCCGACTGCACAAGGCGCTCTATGGGCTGCGGCAAGCCCCTCGAGCATGGAACGCCAAGCTTGACGCCACGCTGGGCGAGCTTGGGTTTCAAAGGTGCGCAACCGAGCACGCGCTCTACACGCGACGACGAGGAAGAAAGAGCTCGTGGTCGGCGTGTATGTGGATGACTTAATCGTCACCGGCGCGCTTACGGAGGATATCAACAGCTTTAAGCGAGAGATGGCAGCTCGTTTCCGAATGAGCGATCTCGGCGCTCTCTCTTACTACCTCGGCATCGAGGTGAGACAGGGGAAGGAGGAACTCACGCTCGGACAAAGCGCGTATGCCTCCAAGCTGTTGGAGAGGAACGACATGGTGGAGTGCAAGCCATGTGTGACTCCGATGGAGGAGCGGCTGAAGCTGACGAAGGCCAGCACTGCGGCGAAAGTGGATGCAACACTCTACCGGAGCATCGTTGGCGGTCTACGCTATCTAGTCCACACGAGGCCGGACATTGCGTTCGCCGTGGGCTACGTCAGTCGCTTCATGGAGGATCCCAGAGAGGATCACTGGGTTACGGTGAAGCGGCTACTACGCTACGTCAAGGGGACGGTGAATCATGGAATCATCTTCCCAAAGATCGGCGGGAGTAGGCTGCAGCTCACGGTATTCAGCGATGCAGACATGGCGGGGGACATCGACGGACGACGGAGCACCTTTGGCGTGCTCATCTTCCTCGGATCAGCCCCAATTTCATGGCTATCGCTGAAACAGAAGATGGTGGCGCTATCTACGTGCGAGACAGAGTACGTAGCGGCGGCCACAGCGGCGTGCCAAGTTGTGTGGCTACGCCGGCTGCTGGGCGAGCTGACCGGCGTGGAAGCTCACCCACCAGCACTGATGGTGGACAACCAGCCCGCCATCGCCCTCACGAAGAATCCGGTTCTATACGACCAGAGTAAACACATCGACGTAAAGTTTCACTTCCTCAGGGACTGTGTTGATAGAGGGCAAATCGTCATCGAGTTTGTCGAAACTGCTCAGTAGCTCGCAGACGTCCTCACCAAGCTGCTCGGACAACTTCGACTCACGGAGCTGAAGGAGATGATCGGCATGGAGGGGGTACAAGGGTTAGCAGTAGGATTAAGGAAAGATTGTTAGCTAATCTACTACCACCTTGTATGAACACAGCAGAGGAAGGTGGCGCCGACTTAGCCGCCTGCTGTGTGTGAACACAGCAAGGGAAGACGGCGCCGACTTTGCCCCTGCTGTGATACAGTAGCCGCTGCAAGGTGCAGGCGCCGCACGGCTCACCTGCAGCACTGTATGAACAGGCAGTGGCCGGCGCAGAGTCAGCCCTATCAGGTTATCTAGTTACTGTGCCAGCATGGGCGCTGCACATGGACTAGATAGTTTGAGTTGTATAAATAGACATGTATGGCAACTCAGTAAAGAGAGCTCAGATTTGTCATCACACAGACAGGGCCTCGGCCAACGCTGTTGTCTTGTATTGTGCGTGCTTGCTCTGTTCTCCCTTCTTCTCCCAACTCCGTCCGTAGTGTGTGGGTACGGACAACGCCGATACGTGGTCTGCACGGCCAGTGGGTGCTCGGCAACACTAGCGCGTGCTCGGCGAGACCGTCAAGTGCTCCACTCGTCTGAGCCGGTGCTCGGTAAGATCGGCTAGAGTGGTTCACTATCGTGAGCCGGTGATCCTGTGAGACCAACTGTAGTGGTCTGGAGGCCATCTCAGTAGTTTGGAGGCTAATTGTGGGCCAACACAGGAGCTTCAGCTGAACAATGACAGCAGAGATATCTGGCCATGCTGAAGCAACAGCATTGGTATTTTGTTCACTTGTTTCTTGTGATGACAGTGGCATTACATTCAGATTCAGATGATGTTGCACGTTACAACAGCAACTGATGCGATCGCAGCACTAGCTTATGCCTTATCTATGCAACGAACGAACAAACAAATTTCACTAGTAATAAGTGAAACAAGCTCGGTTCACCCACCTTAAAAGGCACCATGCATCATGCTTCCAAGCTCCAAGTGGTGGGCAAAGATATGATGGGCAGTTTGGTACCCATCTGCTGATCCATTCATCACTCTCGGACTCTCGGTGGTACCAGCCACGCCCACGTCAGTATGAGCACGTGCTTACTGCACATATCTGCCACACTCGCAACAGCTAGCCTGCCTCGACTTTCAGCTTCAATTCTTTCAGTTTCAGTATGAGAATTAATAGGGGAGTTTCAATATGAAAGTACTTTCAGCTTCACTAGTTTCAGTTTCAGTATGACTGCACACATCAATCTGCCACCGTACCATATAAGGAGAATAGCAAGCAAACCACATTGCTGATGAATTGTACTGATTCGGAGCAAATGACTGGATCACTGGATCAAATAAGGACACGTCAAACACGAATCCTTCCCAAAATACTCTATCTCGGTTTGTATTATTAGAAAATCCAGTTAGCCGATCGAGCGATTTATTGTGAGCATGCAGCAAGCACATGCGATCGAACTGCTTGGTAGTATCTGCCTGCCAGTCTTAACTCCAGTGTAATTATTTGAGCATTACAGGAGCTGCATGCTGTTTTAGGTGGCCTGCATTAATGTAATGCTCAAAGACATGGAGAGCGACACGGGCCGATATAAGTCAACGAAGATGGATGCAGAAACCACACATCCACAATGACACCATCCATAAGCATCATCAGCTTCCACTTGCACTTCCAGGTTTTTCAATCGATCAGAGAAATCGTGTAGGTTTAGACGATCGATCTGTGCCAATTCTTTGAACAGATTGAGTCAGGTCAGATACGGAAGCATATGTGATAGGGACGCGTTCGACGATCATGTTGAGTTTTGGATTTGACATTGTGTAGGCTTAGAAGGCGTCAGGAATTACCCTCATATTCACTGTGACAGCCATACAGCATGGCTACAGTGCCGTCCTGCACAGAACAGCGCTGTCCTTCTGCTGAGAAGGATCCGCGGTTGCTGCTTCTCGGGCCACCGCGAAGGCCAGGTGACTTCGCCGAACGCATATATAGCAACAGCCACACGAGTTTGACGTGGTTAAGCTCTTTCTGTTAGGCCCTGGTTTTGACTCCCATGTTTTTCTTGTTTGGCGACTCACTTCCCGTATTTGTCCTATTCATCCAGTTTAAGCATGTACATCCTACATACAAAACATAAACGACACAAGAACAATGAGTGTATCGGAGTGATTAGCTATGCACAATATTCAGGACGACTGAACAAACGAAACGCCACTCAGTTTTTCAGTCAGGGCAACACCACTAAACGCAGGGGCAGGGCGGCCAAAGAGAAAGGGAAGGGCAACGACAGCGACCAGATCAGACACTCACATCCTGTCGTCATGACTCCTGAGGCCCCAAACACCTTAAACAAGATGACAATATGGATAGCCCCATCTTTGTTTCCGTTCACAAACTTCGTTTTCAGCTCACATCCAATTCCAGAGCCAGAAAACAACGAAAACAGGGCGCGCAAACAGTGGAGTGAAGTGGAGTGGAGTGGAGTGAGCTCATCTTAGCCACACTCGGCTCCACTCAGCATGCAGGAGCGTCGAGGCCACACAAAACTGCCAGCAGATCCAGACAGCTTCGTGTGTCCTGTCCTGACTTCCTGATGTTCACATGTCTCAGATAGGGTCCGTATCATGTATCCGACACCGATCGGATATTTGATACGTATCAAGCTAGATACGTGTATCTGATACGTATGAACTGAATTGGATACGGCCGGCCAGCAAACAAAAATATTGAATAGTCCTGGTAACAACAGAGAAAGCTAGCCATGCTGAAGCAACAGCATTGGCATTTTCTTCATTTGTTTCTTGTGATGACAGCGGCATTACATTCAGATTCGGATGCTGTTGCGCGCCACAACAGCAGCTGATGCGGCAAGTTCAGCACATCAAGGCAGGCATTTGAACTGAACAAAGGTTGTTGCAATTGCAATGGTTCTAACCAAGTTTGGTTTGATTTCGAGATAAACCGGAAGAAAATATATCACATTATTGAGCTCAATATATAAATGCTAGGACTATGTATCATAAAATCCATTAGCAAACTGTAACAAAGAGCAAAAATAGCAACAACTAAGCCACAGTGCGACTTAAACCCACGATACCGCAAAGAATGATGCATCGCTGCAAGAAGGTAAGGTCATTGACAATGTTATCAAAAACCAGCACCCGATTTAATTAACAACCAGGCTCACCTTCATGAATCGTGTTCGTGTGAGGGTCACCGAATAAAACCCAACATAAATGGAAAAGGCATTGTTTATTACAGGCCTAAAATACCACTCACGCTCCAAATGCAGGCATCCTTCCGCTCCCTCCATTGTTTATTCCAAGCTTTGGGGCACAAGACCTCGAGGTACAGTGTTCCTTTGGCATCAATGATGACAAAAAACTCAGGACTGTTGTTATCAACTCTTAAAAGCTCTTGGCCGCCGCGATGACGCTCTCCACAGTGATGCCATACTCCTTGTAGATCGTTCCGGCAGGAGCACTCGCACCGAACTTGTCGATGCCAATGGCCTTGCCCTGGGCTCCGATATACTTCTGCCAGCCAAGAGTAGACCCGGCCTCAATGCTGATTCTTGCGGTGACGGCTGCAGGGAGGACACTCTCCTTGTATTCATCTGACTGCTCATCAAAAAGTTCCCAGGAAACAAACGAGACGACACGGACTGTCTTGCCCTCCTTCCTCAACTCATCGGCGGCCTTTTCTGCAATCTCCAGTTCAGAGCCGGTACCCAACACGATGAGATCAGGCTTGTTGCCAGTTGAGTTGTCGGAGATGGTATATCCACCCTTCTCGACACCCTCAATTGAGGTACCAGGCAGGTGAGGAAGCTTTTGCCTGGACAGAGCGAGAATAGATGGCCTCTTCCTGTTGAGAACTGCAACTTTGTATGCTCCGGCGGTCTCATTGCCATCAGCAGGGCGGAGCATCAATATGTTTGGCATTGCGCGGAAACTCACCAAGTGCTCAATGGGCTGATGGGTCGGGCCATCTTCTCCAAGACCAATAGAGTCATGGGTCATAACATAGATAACTCCAGCTTCAGACAGAGCTGAGATCCTCATGGCGCCTCTCATGTAATCGGTGAAGACAAAGAATGTAGCACAGTACGGAACAAACCCTGGACTGTGCAGAGCAATGCCATTGCAAATGGCGCCCATTCCGTGCTCTCTGACTCCAAACCGGACATTGCGCTCTTCAGCCGTATCCTTCTGGAAGTCACCAAACATCTTAAGCAGAGTCATGTTGGAGGACGCAAGATCAGCACTACCTCCAATAAGGCCAGGCACAACATTAGCAAGTGCATTCAAGCACTGCTGGGAGAGGTTCCTGGTGGCATCTCCTGGGCTCTCTGGAGTGTATTTCTATATAGAGAGAAAAAAAACAAGAATCTACCATTAGAGTTTAATTCTCCATGTATCAGTATCAACTGCCGTATTGCAAGTAGATATGTATTCTTACAGGAAGCGCATCAGCCCAGCCAGTGGGGAACTCTCCTGTGATGATACTTTTCAAGGTTGCTGCATCATCTGCATACTTCTTCTCGTACTCTGCAAACTTAGCATTCCAATCAGCCTCAAGTGCAGCACCTTCGGGTGTGTGGCGGCTCCAGTGGCTGCAATGATCCATTCAAAGAAACCGTGTGAGTGCTATGCATTTCACTAGCTTCATCCAGATAACTAGATTACTAGAACAGAGAGTAGACCAACCTCTTGACATCCTCTGGTACAAAGAATGGCTCATAGGGCCATCCAAGGTTCTGCCTGGTTGCTTCAACCTCTTTGGCACCCAATGCACTTCCATGCACACTGTATGAGTTGGCCTTGTTGGGAGATCCAAAACCAATTGTGGTAGTCACCTAAATAGAGTGCCAATTAGGCCAATGTTATAAAATCTACAGCAAAAAAAAACATAAAAGGTTGCAAATACCAAAGAAACCAACCTTGATTAAGGTGGGCTTGTCGGTAACTGCCTTCGCCTCCTTAATGGCTGCACGGATGTCATCATAACCGTTGTTCCCATTCTTAACCCAGATTGTGTGCCACCCAAGACCCTCAAAGCGGGTGCTCACGTCCTCTGTGAATGCAATCTCTGTATCTCCATCGATGGAAATGTGGTTATCATCGTAGAAAGCGATCAGCTTGCCAAGACCCCAGTGTCCAGCCAAGGAGCAAGCTTCATTGGCAATACCCTCCATTTGGCAACCATCTCCCAAAATAGCGTACCTGTACAAAATTCATGAAACATGTTACCAAAACTGCACCACACAGGCTAACAGCAAGACACTGCATGTTCAGATTATTAGAAGTATTACGTGTAGTGGTCGACGATCTCACTGTCAGGCTTGTTGAAGCGGGCAGCCAGGTGCTTCTCGGCAAGCGCCAACCCAACAGCATTGGCGATACCCTGACCAAGAGGTCCTGCAGAACAACCATATTGGAAACCGAAACTTTTAGTTTTACATACAGTACAGCAGGGCAATTCACAACAAGTGGTCAGCCAAGTAGAGAAGAAAACGGACCAGTGGTAACTTCAACTCCTGGAGTCTCAAAGTTCTCAGGGTGACCCGGTGTCTTGCTTCCCCATTGCCTGAACTGCTTCAAATCCTCCTCCTGCAGCAACAGCGTACCAACCATAGTTAAAAGAAATTCAGTCACAAAAGTGATGCTTATCAAACACCTAGCAGCTATGCTGAGGTGAATTACACGCAAATAGTTCTGCTAAGCATGAGTGATGACAGGTCCATGGTGTAACGTCAGTCTCCAACTAATTTTCCTAGGAAACTTAGCTTCCCCTTATCATAATAAGGTGCTGTTTGTTGCCCTCCTAAATTTTAGTCGCTGTCCCATCGAATATTTGGACACATACATAAAGTATTAAATATAACTAATTACGAAACTAATTGCATAGTTTGCGACTAATTTGAGAGACGAATCTTGTAAGCCTAATTAGTCCATGATTTGATGATGTGGTGCTACAGCAAACATGTGCTAATGACGGATTAATTAGGCTTAAAAAATTCGTCTCGGGGAGAAATGACGGATTATGTAATTTATTTTTTTATGAGTATCCGAACACCCCAATACAGCATCCTCCCGACACACCTCCTAAATTTTAATCACCGGATCCAAACACTAATACATCTCTGACAACTGGACAAAGGCAGGCACAGCCTTTCCTAGGCCACCACCAAAGATAGCAGTCAAGATCCAAGCTTTCCACTATTTTACCAAACAAGATCCAAACTTTACACATGAACCTAACCCCGATTTCGCCGCTCCAACCAACCAACCCGGAGCAAATCCCACACATCACACCAAAAACAGAAGATGAAAACAAACACAGCAAAAGCAAGTGAATCAGCTGGCTTACCTTAACACTGTCGTATCCGGCGAGGTGGAGTAGGGCGTACTGGAGCATGCAGCCGTGGCCGGCGGAGAGGACGAAGCGGTCGCGGTTGAACCAGTAGGGGTTCTTGGGGTTGTAGCGCATGACCTCGTCGTAGAGGATGTGCCCCATGGGCGCGCAGCCCATGGGGAGGCCCGGGTGGCCGGAGTTGGCCTTCTCGACGGCGTCGATGGCCAGGAACCGGATCGTGTTGACCGACTTCTCGAGCAGCTCGCCCGTGGCGGCCTTCCCCTCGAGCGTCTCGACGGCGGCGGCGCGCACGACGCGCTGGCGGCGGGAGGCGGCCGCGGACGGCGAGCGGCGGGCCGGGAGCGGGGAGCGCAGGCCGCGGCCGGCGAGCGAGCTGAGGCGGAAGCCGAGGCGCTCGGCCGGGGCCGACGCCCCGGCGCTCGGCGCCGCGCGCGCGGCGATGGTGGCGTGCGCGGCGGCGACCGAGTGCGTGGCCATGGTATCTGTGATGGCCTGATGGGCGCTGTGTGCGTGCGCGTGCCGGGTGGAGGAGAGGCGGAGATGGCGAGCCTGCGGTCGGGGAGATCAGAGATGGGACGGGGGGGTTATGTATAGACTCCGGGGTGCGTTCTGGGGGACGCGTTGCCAACAAGAAGAAGAAGGTAGCTGCTGAGCTGAGGCGGCTATGGAAATCCCGGTGGACATGGTCTATGGACCAGGGGTGTGTACTACTGGTTTGAAGCCGCCATTGGGCTGCTAAGGGTTGGTAGAGCTTCAGTCAGCAATTGCTTGATTTTTTTTTTTGGAGACAAAAATGTGAAAGAAGGACAATTTGGATGACGTAGCTTCGTTCAACGCAGCCCGCACCCGTTTGGTAGGGCTTTTTTTTTCGAGCAAGGAATAATTATATTAGATAATAGCCGATACATCAACACGTTACGGGCATTTTGATTTACACGAGTATATAGAAACTAATTTTTATCTAAATTATACGCATGCTGTGAATAGCTCCAAATCTCAAAACCAAATACGTACAACGCTTTACAGTATGGATGACCGCACAGGCAAACACTCGACAAAAAGCCTGAGAACATATGCCCAACGAACGACGGCCAACATTCATATAGGCGGAGTTAATAAACTTCTTCTTTCTGGTATCTTCTTTCTTCTTCTTTCTGCTATCGAAGGATAAGGAAGATCGATCTTAAACTTATTCTCCCTAGTTCTTCATCGTGGCCTGATCTGACCACGATAAAACGGATAAGAGACCGGAGAAAATTATTCCATGATGGCGACACCATCTCCGCGTTGATGTCGCCGTCCGAAAATAAAAATCCCCATGTCATACCGGTGAGGATGCTGACGTCGTAGTTGCCGTCCTCATCTACAACAGAGCCGCCATGGAGAAAACGATTACATCCTGTCCTCTCGCCGTTGCTGGAGAGAATAAGGAGGAGATAAATCTCCAAAACCAAAAAAACTTAACATGAAGAGATCCTAGTCTAAAGGACTCGATCTACTGAAAAAACTTGTTAAAAACGATTGATCCCCACTCTCTCTAGCCTCCGGCGATATGCCGGAGGGGGAGGGATGGGGGCCAGAGGTGGTGGAGGCCGGGGCGGCGGCGGCGGAGGACGACGCGAGACTTAAGGTTGCGTTCGTGAAATGGGAGGTCTAAGTGGGCAAATGCTCGTTTGGCAGGGCTTTTGAGGCCTTCTCAAACGCGGCACCGTGGCCTGTCGTAGCCTCCAACTCTGTATAAATCATCCGTATCATCTCAAATAGCGGCTCCGTAGCATGTCAGAACATCTTGTAGAGGGTGTCAATGATTCAGCTAACAAAAGGTGCGAGCCACTGCTTTTGGAAGAAAAGTTGAGACTGATTGTGAGATAGCAAAGGAAGACGAGCAAGCGGATGTCTGCATATACATATAAAGAGGGAAATGGTGATATTAGCAACAGATGAAGTGGCTAGCCTGCGATGTAAAGAAGACAACTTCAACTACTTTTTATCTACATGGCAGCTAACTTTTGATTAAGGTGGTGTTTAAATCCAGAGGCTAAAGTTTAAGGATGTCACATTATGTGTCATATAGGGGTGTCACATGGGAGTGTTCGGATAATAATAATAAAACAAATTACACAAGTTCTCAGTAATACGCGGGACGAATTTATTAAGCCTAATTAATTCATCATTAGCACATGTTTACTGTAGCACCACATTGTCAAATCATGGACTAATCAGGCTTAAAAATTCGTCTCGCAAATTAATCGCAATCTGTGTAATTAGTTATTTTTTTTAATCTATATTTAATACTCCATGCATATGTCAAAACATACGATGTGATAGGGACTAAACTTTAGGAGAAGGAACTAAACAAGGCCTAAGACCACTAACATTAGTTGTCTGCATAAGAGCTGCCCTGAAGCAAGTAGGGATGGCAAAGGGTCGGGTTTGGTGGGTGCGGAGTAAAACTCGCCACGACGACACCCATGATATTTGGCCACGCCCGTCCTCAAATGTGATCCGTGGGCACAGTGTTACACCCGCACCCGCACCCGCACCCGCACCCGCACCCTGTGGGTTTCATGTTACTCCGCGGGTGTGTTATAAGAAGCTAACATATAACCAAAGAAACTATAAAGTTGAGAGAATACATAATTATCAATTTATTGTCTCCAATAAATCAACAACTTAAATCTAGTCTTAGTACATACCATGTAGACAACATCCATACAAACTATACTAAGTTTTACATAGGTGTATGTTAGATATTAGTTTTAGACCTCCAATTAATAAGCAGAAAAAATAGAAAAACATATGTTTTGGGCCTCGCGGGTGAAATATGACACCCGCACCTGACTCGACGCTATTATGGGCTCCAATCCGAAGACACCCGCGGGTCTAATATTGCATCCGCACCCACGGGTGTGATTGTCATCCCTATAAGTAGCTTTTGCTCCTATTCACGGTTCGGCTCATGGTTTTTGCGGCTAATAAGCCGACTGAAGCTAATTTATTCTGGGAGAAAAACACTATTTCATGACTGATAAGCCAGACTGATAAGTTAGAAGCGAGCGGCTCTGGCTACACGACTGTAACACTACTAATCTATTATAGAGCTACTGTAGGAGAGCCACGTGGAGCACCTAAGCTGCAGCTCCGTCGGTTCTTTACTTTTCCTAGTTGAGGTGCGACGGAGTCGGAGCCGTTTTACCAGCAGCTACACTGACGCACGTGCTAAATATTGTCGAGGAACTTGACCTACCTTGGCCGCGTGCTCCACGCCTGGCCGCTGGACGCTCGTGCGGCGCCACTCTTCCATTGTGCCGGGCTTGTCAGCTCCATGGCCACTCGTGCGCCGCCGCTGCGCACGCCGGCGATGCCTCTCAGGCCCCACGGTACCTGTCGCTCGTACTTTCTACTCGTACTCCGTACACTCATACGCACTTTGAATGGAAAAGAAAAATAGAGATACAGCATGGGAAAAAGGAAGGAGACGGATGGATATTAAGCGAAGGGATAAGGGCATCACAAACGTGTGAGGCCACCATTCCATCGCCCTTAAGGTGGGCTCCACCGATTCATAAGGCTTACCTCTGTCGATAATGCTTCGTCAATGGCATCCGCCCCAATCCCGATGCTGCGCGACTCACTCCGCTGACTGTCGTGGTCATCCCAGTCCCCCATCCCACCCCTCGCGACTCACTCCTCTAAAAAAATCCTACTCGTCCCACTCCACTGGCTGCCGTGGATATCCCCGCGTGCGTCCCCATCCTGCGCCCGCCCGCCCACCCACTCCTCCATTCCCCGCAGCGCCGCCCTGCGCCCATTCCGCCTCCGCGCGGCCATCCACTCCATCTCCACCCAGCCATCCACTCGGCCTCTGAGCGTCCTACTCTGCCTTCGCGTGGCCATCCATCGCGCCCATCCACCGCGCCCAATCCGCACTCACCCGTCACGCCACAGCGTGCACCGCCACCGTACCACCACCCCCGTGCCACCGGGAGAAGGTCGTCGCCGGCCGAGGCATCGTCTCCCACGGTCAGTCGAATTCACCACTACAGGGAGGATCTGTATGTTGCAAATGCATGTTTCAAGTGTTTTAGACATTTTAGAAGTATGTTGCAATTGTGTTCGTCTTGATGTTGCAAAAGTGGACCGGGGGATGTTGCACATGTTGGATATGTTGCAAGTGTTTCAGAGGCATGTTGCAAGCTTTTGTTCAAAATATTTCATCTTTTTCTAGACGTATGTTACAATCGTTCTGATCTTGATGTTTCATATACTTCACACAAATGCTGCAATAATATGTATTAAATGTTTCAGTTGTTTTTCAGTCTTATGTTGCAGCTAGTTGTTTTCCACGTTGCAAGTTACAAGTATTTTATTCGAGCGTTTTATGTTGTTCGGCCGGGACGAGCCGGGGGATAGCGACGGGGGCGCTGCGGTTTAGGGGTGGCGCTGGACGTGCTCGCACGGGCGCTAGCCATGCCCTACCTATGTTTATGTTTAAGCCCAGCAAGCATAGCCATTAAACGTGGGTCCCATTCGCACGTCAGCAAGCTGGAGTCTCGTAATAAAACAGCTTGAACTTATCAGCCGAAACTTATCAGGTAGAATCTAAGCTCTAGCCGACTTATCAGTCAGCTTATGTATCAGTCGAACAAGAGCCTCGGTGATATCCTCATCCTCGTTGGCACAGAGCGGAAGGGCGAACCACCATCACCACCTCTGCTCCCCGTCGGCCGCCGCATCGCCCCTGCTCCTTGCCGCTGCGCCCCTCCTCATTCCACCTCCATACGGCGCCTCTCTCGTAGCGCCGCTCCTCTCTCCACCTCCTTTGCACGTACCTCTCCGAGTCTCCGTGCGAGGCCGTCCTCACTCCTCAGCCCCGTCCCCTGCGCTGCCTCTCTCGTCCTCCCGATCTGATGGGCAGTGCCGCCTCGCCCTCTCATCCCCTACGTCGCCCACTTCCCGATCTGACCGTGGTTCGTGGAATGGAAGACGATGCAGGTGCAGCTCCACAGGCAACAACGGCTTCACAGGCAAAATCAATTTTTTATATGCCTTGATATCAGGTCTTTAGCTTGAGGTCCGGCCACATGCTTTTCTGGTCGAGCTAAACGCTGATGCCCGTAACGTATGAGGCAATGTACACTCCGGAATTCCGGATGCTCTAAGGCAATGTACTGGTGTTTTTTTTCTCAAAGGAAAATAGTACTACTCCATTTCTTTAGCGATATAGGTCCTATTCGGCTTACTTTATAATCCGCACTATTCAGCTTGTTATTTCAGCCGAAACAGTGTTTTTTCTCTCACAACAATTTAGCCATAACATCATTTTTTCAGCCAATTCAACCAAGTTTCAGCAAGCCGAACGGGCCATAAGACCAAGTTACCTCACTAATAAACTTATATATTACTAACCGAATCAAATAATTAGGTCAAATAGACATGGGCACTGTGGATATGCAACATCTTTCATCCCATCCAAA